TAGCTCATTTCAAATGAAAAAAAAAATGGTTGGTGTCAAATTACAGTGTTTCAAAATAAAATTATCCGTGTTTTCAACTTTATTCCTAGAGGCCATAGCCTAACGTATTGTACCATTTTGGAATCAGGCCGACTCCGTGAGCAAATTAAAAATATTCCGGGCCAGATCCAACTCACGAATCCTGAAATTTTCGATTCCCAAGTTTTCATTATTGCGATTGTTTTCGGCCATATTTGATGTGATTTTTTGTGACGATTTTTTTTTGTATAATTATAACTTGAAAATAAATTTGGGAATAGCCGAAATTGATTGCGAAATTCAGCGAAAGTCAGCCATGAAATAAAAATAATCGTTTGCAAAGTAAGCACTTACGTACATGAAATTGTCTTTGAATTAAATGGCGACAGAAGAATTATCATAATTAAAAGGTAAGCTTAAGTATTAATGTAATACTTAAATGTAGCGATCACTTTTGAGTTCTCCTGTAGTTCATTGGTGTCTGTCGCAACAACTCCTCCCTACTTATTGTTATGAAGGCCCTAATCAAGAGTTTTCCACGGGAACTAGCTTAAATGCTGCTTGATAGGGTGGCTTTTAAGCTAGTTATTAATAAAAATTAAAGACTAGATGTTTTGTAAATTTTTTAATTGACTTTTTTCTTATTTATATTATTTACACTCAGACTATTGACCTCATCTTTGCTGTTGTTACCATATTTTAGCCATTGTGTTCTCTAGCCTTCACCGGGTGTTTGATTTTTACTCCTAAAGTTCGTAGCCCAACATTTTGGAATCAGTTCCAGATCCAGACTCACAATCCTGGAATATTGGATTCCTAAGTTTTCATTATTATAATTGTTTGTGTTGATTTTTTGCAACATATTTTTTTGTACAGTTATTTTCATAACTTGGAAATAAATTTCGGAATAAACAAAGTTAATTGAAAATCCAGCAAAAGTCACCCATGAAATAAAAATAATTGTACGGAAAGGAAAGACATATGTATATCAAACTGTCTTTAAATTAAGTGGTAGCAGAAAAATTATCGTTGAACTTTTAAAAGGTAAGCCTAAATATTAATGCAATACTTAAATGAAGCAAACAATTTTGAGTTCTTTTTTTAATTTATTGTTGTTTATCGCATCTACTTCTCCTTACCTCTTGTGATGAAGGACCAATCAAGAGTACTCCGCAGGAGCTAGCTTAAATGCCGCCCGATGAAACAGCTTTTAAACTAGTTAAGGATGTACGAGAGTAGGCTAAAAATCTGATAGGCTGACTATGTAGGAAAGATGTTAGGGCTGTGAAATCTAGCATGCATTAATTTCAACTCTTCTTATTAATAACTGCATCATTGTTTTTGTTTCAGAGAAAACATTAACAGTAACACTTAGCGACTTCTCTTGAAAATGGAGAAAAATTTTGTATCGGGGTGTTATTATGTACCTGCAGAAAAAGGGTTTAGCCCCAAAGGACATTCCTGCTGACATAGTTGCAACATCAGTGTAAGGCGCTCGAGCTTTATAAACAGTGCAAAAGTGAGCAGTTAAATTTGGGAGGCGAATGGAGAGTCTTGAAATAGACCCACGGTCGAAATATTCCTGACAAACCGAACGTATCAAAATATTTTGTTCTATCCAGCCAATTCTATCACAGATACAATATAAAATAACTTATTTGAGTGAAAGAAAAATTCTCTTACAACTATTCCTAAAGAATAAAATAATTAATACCAAACTCTGTCCCCTGTAATAATTGCCACAAGTAATACAGAAGAGAAATCTCAAGTTTATATAAACAGAAAAGAGATTTTTTTACAAAACAACACGGCGCATTAATTGCTCGGCATAATGTCTGACTATAATTTTAATTTAAAAAATGCTACTTTAATTAAAAGAGAAAGCAATATACTAAGAAAAAAGTGTATAGATAATATTTTAATCGCTAGATTATCCACAGTAAATTTGCATCCAGGTTCTTAGGCCATTTCACATTCCTTGACAGATCTTCTATCATTCCAATGTGGGATATTTATTAATAAATGTGACGGAAAAATAAACAAAAATAAACGAAATGAAATCGGATAGATTGGTTTGATTTCTTTTGTTTTACGATATATCAACCCCAATGGTTTATTTAATGCCGACAACTTTTTTTTTCCTGGTAATATTTTTGTTTTATCAAAAATCTATTTCTGTTAATATTTTTTTCCTCAAAAACATATAGCTGGTAATATTATTTTTTCAAAAACGTATAGCTGGTAATATTATTTTTCCAAAAACGTATTGCTGTTAATAGTTTTTTTTTTCAAAAACGTATTGCGGACAATATTTTTTTTTCTTCAAAAATTTATTTCTGGTAATAATTTTTTACAAAGTATTTCTGGTATTAAAACCTATTTTTACACTTTTATAATGCTTTTTACTTCAGTTTAGGGGATAACTATTTGCCCATAGCTAGGAACCTAACAGGTGCTACCATCCCGGGTCATGGTGGACCTGGGAATACCAGCAATTAAGAGGTGGTTCCACGCTCCTCAAAACATCCTGATTAGAGGCATTGCTGTTGGACGTAGTTTATCGTCTTACCCTGGACGCGGATGTAGTTTACCGTCATACCCAGGGCGCGAATGTAGTCTCAGTTTAGGGGATAACTATTTGTCCATAGCTGGGACCCTAACAGGTGCTACCACCCCGGGTCAGGGTGGACCTGGGAGCATCATCAATTAAGAGGTGGTTCCACACTCCTCAGAACCTCCTGATTAGGGGCCTTGCAGTTGGACGTAGTTTGTCGTCTTACCCTGGACGTGGATGTAGTTTATCGCCATGCCCAGGACGGGAAATCGGATAGAGTATATACCCAAATCATATATAAATAGAAATTTAGATTTAAATATAAAATTATCAGCGCCTCCTCTACTTCGTGCGCATGTGTAGTCATGGTAACGTGAACATCACTAGAATATTTTTTAAATGGTGTAATTTTTTACCTATTAAACGAAAGAGATTTACACCCTTATGCAAATTAATTGAAATAAAACGAATAATTCCGTTATTATTTACATTTTTTTCATATTTTCCAATGAAACATAACCCAGTGCACATGTACTTAGCATGTCCACTCCACGAAGTCTTTCCTTGCAGATTGACCACAGATTCTCGATTGGATTTAAATCAGGAGAGTTTACGAGCCAGTCGATAGTACTTTGATTTGCTCACTGGTAAGACTTTCCAGTGTGTTCCTGCAGCGCTGGAATTTTTGTGCGCTTCCTTGGAGTAACGTCCATCGCAGACTGGACGTATGGCAACTAATCGACAGTCGAGAAAATAGTGTCTGGGCGTAATAAATTCTGATGCAATCACGGATGACGCAATATTTTTCAAGCCCAAACAAATTTCATTATACACCCCGAAAATAGATTCGTATTACTGCAAACCGTTGCAAATGACCTAATCTGAGGAAAAAATAGAAATGGATTACAGCGTATCACTCCAGTGCGTCTAAAACTGACTGAAAGTCGAAAGAAAGTTAACTCAAGCTATTGTTTAAATTAATCTGCACAAGGGTGTAATGTTATTTTTTATAAAATATATTTGTTATTTACTTTTTTTAATATAATTGTTACTTACTTTATGAATTTTATTTTTATTTTATTTTGTTTAATTAATTAATTTTTATAGGTCATGAGTTAAAAATTTTCTTTTAATTTTTAATTTTTCTATGGTCGTACATAATTTTGTTGCCTTCAGAAAAGGAGAATTTCTTTTAAGAAAGGAGATTTGGAAAAATTCAGTGAGTAGGTTAATATTCTGGCAAAATTCAATAATTTCACTTTCAAGAACTTTTCGTCTTTGTACGTTATTTCTCTTTTAATATCTACAGCATTTTTAGATCGAAATTTTGACTGAAATTATTTATGTGTACAATTAATGCATTCCTTGTGAGTAAAATGGGTAGATGGAACTATTTCGGGACCCTTAATGGTTGTGCTATCAAGAAGTCATAAGTCATCGTGACCGAGGCTTTGAGAGTATTGGTTTTGTTCAAAATTGTTGGTCACGCCAAATAATGCGCTCTCTCCCAGAAGCAATAACTAAGGTCCGCTATCTACAGTTCCAGTATAAACCCCAGTTTTTGTTTTAAGCATTTCACCCAAAACAAGGCAGGAGTGCCACTAGCACCCACGGGGTTACAGAGAATAAAAGTAAGAGAAAAGACAGGGTATAGGAGGGAATTGAGAAAAGGATAAAAGATGAACAGGGTACAATTCAACAGAAGATGGCAGTTCACTTTGCATTTAAATTTTTGAAGATTCTAATTATCAGGGAAGCAAATACGAGGAAGGGAGTTCCAATGTCGGGAAGTACATGAAAAGAAACTTTTGGGAGTAGAAGTAGCAGTTACATTTAATTATTTTAGCATTAAGAGGTTGGAACCTAAAGGCCAATCTAGTAGCACGCTTAAATTGATGTCGTCAGGGCACCAGAAAAAACTATCGTCAGAGCAGTTACCATGAATATAAATGTAGAAAAGACGGCGGGAAGCCACATCAGGTCTGTGAGAAAGTGATCGAAGTCAGGTCAGGATCAGTTACACTGCAGAAACATCTTTGGATTTTGTCGAGAATCTCTAGATGAACAGCAAGAGAACCAGACCACATTTAGTAACAAAACTCAATGCACGGACGAATGTGTAAAATAGACGTTGACGCAAAGAACCAAATTTCCTTACAGTAGATGCAACTATTGATTCAATGTAGCTGTTCCAACTTAAGTCAGTCGAAAAAGTGAGGCCAAAATATTTTAAACCATAATAGGGGAAATCTAGATTTATGCCTTTTCCAAAGCTATGAGTGCGAAGTGAAGGAAAAAGAACCGGTCAGAATTTGAACTCGGCATGCCAATTCCCCTTTTCAGCCAGGTTGATAACCATTATCCTATTTGTACGCCCGAATATATAAGGTCGTCAATTTCTTCTTTTTTTTTTTTTTCTTTTCGATAGGTGTTCATACTGGTCCCTGTGTAGCCGGAGTGGTCGGGGTAAAGATGCCGCGGTACTGTCTCTTTGGAGATACGGTCAACACAGCGTCTCGAATGGAAACAAATAGTCAGGTAAGAAACATCTTCCTATTTATCTATTATTTTTTAACGACTAGAAAAATCTTAATCCTGAAAAATAACAGTGTATTTCTGTTTCACACAAAGAGCAATTTTTTTAGCTTTTAATCATTTCATTCCAAGCAAGGCAATAGAGCCTCTAAGATGCAGTGGTTTACTGTGTGGTAGAGAATATAAAAAAAAAAAAACTACCGTTAAGGAGAAAGGGCAATATAAGAACGAGAATTAAAAAGACAGAATATAACGATTGACATTGTATTTAAATTTTTGCAGATCAAAGTTGACTGGAAAGTAAGAAGCCAGAAAAGTTCGACAAGTACAAGAAAAGAAACTATTAGCATAGAACAGAGTTTCGTCTAGCCATTTCGACTGTAAAATGATGAGACCTATCCGCCAATCTAGTACTGCGCTTAAATTCCTAAACTCTAGATAACCTGAAGGAAAGTTCATAACAATTACTTTGAAAGTGTTTGTAAAAAGGCACAGGGCAGCTACATTTACTTTTTTGCGGGGTTCAATTCGTTCAGCAAGTCTTGAATAATTTTGTACAGTTTCACAGAAACCGAAAAATACTTCTAAAATTTACTTAATAAGCTACTCGGTGATTCGGTAATTAATAAGAAATTAATTTGGTGTTTGCTGCATCTCAGTTACAGGATTTTGATCAATGTCTGTAAAATTCTTCGTTCAATTTCACTCAACCTTGTTTTAAAAGTCCGCTAATCACTTCTTTTATGGGGATCTCCATTCTCGGCCTTACCGCAAATGATTGCTTCTCCTTTCTTATATGAGGAATCATTTCTTTCAATGTTTTTATCGAGACACCATCTCTAGGAAAGTTGTCATTCATGGATTGAGACACCATCTTAGTCTTATATATAAATATATAAATATATATATAAAATATATATATATATATATATATAATATATGAATATATATATAAATATATAAATAAATTTATATACATATAAATACAAATTAAAAACTACAAAATTATTGTGAAAAGAAAAAATATATATGTTTATTCAATTCATTTCTTCATTGAAATTACGTTCGACAAGACGCTACAATATATCCGGTCGTATGACAATACATGTATATACATGTATATATATATATTTTTTTTCTTTTCCTTTTCTATCATCACTTGATAAGACACAAGTGTGTTGAAACAAAATGGCTATTTTTGTAGTGATTTTATAACATACTTATGTTATAATTTTTTTTATAAAAAATAATTATATCTGCTCTACTTTGTATTGAGCACGCTTTTAAGAATAGTAATTGTTGGTTATTGGAATTAATTCCGTATATACCAATTATATACTTGTATATATATATATATATATATATATATGTTTTAATATCCTTTTTGTTTCTGTTTTCTATTAGACCATTTTTATCTATGCATATTTGCCCGTATAAGTTATATTTTAATAAGTGGTTAGAATTAGTTTAATAACGCTTTCAATCTTGAATATTTCTTGGTTGTTATATCGGACTGTCAAGGTCAATATATATATATGGGTGTATGTACATGTCTTTAACGGTATCAATGTGTATAGTAACTTGCATGCACATTTAATTGTGTATGTATGTGTATGTTCTGTTTTATTTTTTTTTTGTAAAGAATCGTGGAGATGTTTCCTGTCGCGTCACTTTTTGTGTGTGTGTATATATCTAAATATGTCTGGATGCTTATGTATTATAATCTGATTGTGTATCTATTGTCTTTCGCAATATGTTATCATCCCATCCCTACACTTGGAATTCAAATGTATCCATGTTGCCATGAAGTTAAGAGCAGTCGATCTTAACGTCTATTCCAAGGTAATTTCTATAAAAACAAAATAAATAGAAAAATATATGTATTTTTGCATTTTCCTCGGTAATTTTATATTTTTAAACTTAATAGAGATTAAATTTAGATTTTAAAATGCGTAATTTTTTATTTTTAATTTTAATTTCAAATTTTATGATATAATTTAATACTTATTAGTCAGAATAAATTCTATTTTAGTATAACCCCAACTTTAAAGAATTTAATAGCTATTATAACTTTATTTCGTTGTCAAGTTTTTTTGAATTCTCGTATACTTGTATTTTGATTGGTCATTCCAGTTTATGTAACAGCGTTTCCCCTTGACAGGGGTGGTTAATTAATTTGAACCTTTTTAAAACCATATATTCTACATTCAACATCATCACTTGATAAGACACCAAGTATTGAAACAAAATGGCTATTTTTTGTAGTGATTTTTATAACATATTTATGTTATAATTTTCTAATAAATAATTATATATATATATATATATATATATATATATATATATATATATATATATATATTCACCCCAACCCAAATAAGGCGACAAAAAAACTACAACTGATGGAGTTACAGGAAGTGAAAGTGAGAGACAATGAGGGGACTGAAAATGGGAAGGGTTGAGGAAATGACAAAAAAGAAACAAGGTTCATGGAGACAAAAGATGGCGATTCCCGTTGGGTATAATGCTTGGAGATTGTCGTTATCAGCAAACCAAGAAATCGGGATGGAGTCCCGCGTGGAATGGGTAGGAACTGCGAGAAAAGAAACTTTTAGAACAAAAGTAATGGTTGCATGTACAACGGTGAGACCTTGTTGGCAATCTAGTGGCACGCTTAAATTCATGTAGTCAGGGTACCAGGGAAAAAAAAGCTCATCAGAGCAGTTGCTATGGATATATATGTAGAAAAGACAGAGTGAAACCGCGTCAGGTCGGTAAGAACGTGACTGAAATCGAGATTCTTGGTCAGGATCGATTACATTACAGATCCTTCTTTGGATTCTATCAAAAATCTTATAATGTACAGAAGGAGAACCAGTCCATATATATATATATATATATATATATATATATATATTTAAGAATTTCACCCCAAGCAAGGCGGGATGCCACTAGCATGCAAGGGTTTACAGAAAATGGGAGCAAGAGTAAAGAGGCGTGAGAGAGTAATGGATGAAGAGGACAGGGAATAGATCAAGGCATTTGGATATGTCGATTGACATTACATTTGAATAATTGGAGATTATAGCTATCAGGGAAACAAGTAATAAAGAGAGAATTCTACAGACGGGAGGTGCGAGGCATGAAGTTATTGGAGTTGAAGAAATGGTTAGATTTAACTGTTTCGACAGTGAAATCGTGGGATCGAGATACCAGACTAGTAGCACGTTTAAATTCATGCAGTCTGGGAACTTGCGAAAGAGCTCGTCGGAGAAGTTACCGTGAAAGTATAAGGCAACAATATTCAATGTACGGATGAAGGGTAGGTTTATAAATGTGCAAGATGGATTCTGACAAGAAAAATCTTCTGACACGACACAATGAAACAAATTTCCTTGCACTAGATGCAGCTATTGATTCGATATAGTAGTTTCACTTCATTTCAGTGTAACAGGTGAGACCAAGAAAGCGTATAGTGCTCTTCTTTGGCCCACCACAGTGGTGATTAAATTAAAGCAGTTTTGTTTTGGAGATATTAAAAGTTATGAGCCATTTATTGCCCCAATTAACCACAGATAGGAGGTCCTTTTCAAGTGGAGTTGTCAAGTTTACCGGGTCTGTCGAATTCGCTACTAAGTAATTGATGCGGTAACACTAGGAATATTAAATGATTTTATAATACAACATGGGTGACCATGAAATTAGATTAAAACAATAACAACAGGGGCATTAAATAACAACAGCGAAGACAAGAATTTCATGTCAAAACAATGGAGATATGGATATTAATTTACAGCAATGAGAACAAGAACTGGACGTTGCCACAATGGAGACAAGCTTTTACATTAAAACAATCTTCACAAGAATAAGACGTTGTGTCAACAGAGGCAAGATCTTACATAACAAAAATGGAGATAAAACGCATAGGTTACAATAAATTGAGACAAGACCTATATGTTATGTTAATGGAGGGATGAATCTTACGTTGCTTAAACGTAAGTAAGGATGTTACCTTAGAAAAATAAAGAAAAAAAATATGACGTTACATTATTGGACAAAACAATCCTACGTTAGATGATTTGTGACAATGATCTTATCTTTTTAAGAATGGAGACGAGAATTCTATCTTATATGAATAGAAGCATCAAAAGAATTATGCCAAAATAGTCAAGGATCACTAATAGTTACGGTATTAGAATCAAGCATAACTTACGAAGACGAAGAGAAGGGTTATACGTTACATCAAGGAATACTATTCTTCCTTGAAAGTAACTCTGAATTTAAACCTGTATGTAGCACATATTAATCAAAAAGGATCGTTCACGTTAGCTACGGTCGAATTATGATGATGATTAATGAAGTAATATTAGTAACAAGTAGCCATATCCAGCTGGTCGATCAGGAAAAGCGTTGAATTAGAATGGAGCAAAAACAGCATCATGTTTAGATGTAACAGAATCTATCTTCAACAAATATTTTCATTAAAAACATTTTGAGTTAATGCAGTTGCTGATATAACAGAAGTAGTATGTATTAATTCAATGGAAGTTAGCCGACGGCATGAAGGGGTACAATTATTTTGGAGTTTTGTAAATTCCGTTTGTCATTGTGCTACCAGGGGTGTAAAAGAGGATACGTTTACAAACCAATTATTCAGTTTGAGGGAAATCGTTTGGAAGATCAATGAAAAATAAGAAAGAAACCAGCAAAAATCGCCATTTTTCGCTATATACGCGGGTTTTCACTATATGGGTGGACTCAATTATCAAGTTAAATGATAACAAAAGTGATGGTTGTATGTTCCTTTTCAAAAAAGTGATTGTTGGCAACAAGTGCGCGAAGTTTGTATTAGATTGCTTGAGTTTAAAATTTGTGTTGAAATCGATTTTTTGTTTTTCGCCGTTATTCGCTAAACGCAGTGGCCTAGAAATAAAAATGAGGTATCGTTGAGCTCGTCATGATGTAAGTAACCTACATATCGAGTTTGAACGAAATCGGAGAATAAAAGTTGAATTTATCGATATTTGATCGGCTTTATCGATTATTGATTTTTTTTTAAATTATCATTTTTTTACGCTGCCTATCTCTTACATTGTACAATGTATGTGCCAAGTTTGGTCAAAATCGGTTGGATGGATCTCGAGTGAAAAGGTATCACACAGACAGACACACAGACATCCTTTGTTTTATATGGATAGATGAACTGTGAGCTGATCGAGAACGTTGCGCCAAACAAAGTTAATAAAACGGTGTAATGGTGTTCACAATGAAATAATATTTAAAAAAATAAAATATCGTTGTTTTTCTTTTTTTCAAGTATTAAGTTATTGCGATCTCAGACTGGCCTTTGTAATCCAAATAGATCTGTGCGTCCAATTTTTATTGAATCCATTCAGAATTGTTGGTCTCTCTCTCTCTCTCTCTCTCTCTCTCTCTCTATCTATCTATCTATCTATCTATCCCACTCTTTTCATATCTATCCCAGTCTTTTCATATCTATACCAGTCTTTTCATATCTATCTATCTATCTATCTATCTATCTATCTATCTATCTATCTATCTCAGTCTTTTCATATCTATCTCTCTCTCTATCTATCCTAGTCTTTTCATATCTCACCCAGTCTTTTCATATCTCTCTATCTCTCTATCTATCTAAGTCTTTTCATATCTATACCAGTCTTTTCATATCTATCTATCTATCTATCTATCTATCTATCTATCTATCTATCTATCCCAGTCTTTTCATATCTATCTATCTATCTATCTATCTATCTATCTATCTATCTATCTATCTATCCCAGTCTTTTCATATCTATCTATCTATCTATCTATCTATCTATCTATCTATCTATCTATCTCAGTCTTTTCATATCTATCTATCTATCTATCTATCTATCTATCTATCTATCTATCCCAGTCTTTTCATATCTCTCTATCTCTCTATCTATCCCAGTCTTTTCATATCTATACCAGTCTTTTCATATCTATCTATCTATCTATCTATCTATCTATCTATCTATCTCTATGACTTTCAGCTCTTTTCAAAATTCAGATATGAAAGTGAGGCGATTTTAGATGGCGATTGCCTATAAGGAGATTACGACAAAACAGCTAATGGCGATCCTGGAAAGAGACTTTGCAGACAATTTTACAAAGCGGAAGCGCGGTCGGGATACATTTCGGCATGTTACATTTTCTGTTTAAGGTTAACTGGGAGTAAATGCTTGATAATCTCAAAGCGACCGAGATGGGCGACTTACAAACAGATTCTGAGAATACCATGGACTGAACATGAATAACGAGAAAGTTTTAAGGAAATGGGAACAAAAATTACATTTGCGCCTAAAATAAGAAGTCAACAGATGAAATTTCTGGGGTACATAATGAGGAAAGGCGACTTGGAAAATTTAACACTTATAGGGTATACAGATAGCATGAGGTGTAATGGGAAAAAAAACAAACTAAACTTTCCAGTGAGTTTTTTTTTTTAATGGATGGCCGAGTTGGGAAGAGATGGTAAAGTTTTGGACGCTATTTAGAGCTGCAAGGGACAGGAAGTTGGGGAGAGCTATGATCGCTGATATATCCGACATTAACTTTGTCCGGTGTGTATTTAGACGTGCAGTGATAACGGAAGAAGAAGACGAAGAACACGATAAGTCAAGATTTGATAACAATTGAACAACTGTAATCGAAATGGAAAAAATAAGATAATGTGTGTGTGTGTGTGTGTGTGTGTGAGAGAGAGAGAGAGAGAGAGAGAGAGAGAAGAGACTAATTTGGAAGAGAAAGACAGAGTTAAAAGAAAGAAATGGATGTCTTGAACTTAATCCCTGTCGTTCTCTTTTTTCCTTTTTCCAGACACTTCTCTTTACCCTTACTCTCACTCTCTGTAACTCTTTGCGTGCTAGTGGCACTCCTGCCTTGCTTGGGGTGATTTGCTAAAAAAAAAAAAAAAAAAAACGGATAAAAGGAAAGAAACAATAAAAAGATTGATATGCGCTGTTTGAATTTAATTTAGTCTTAATATACAGCGGTCCAGCCAAGCGTCATTGAAAGCAAACTCGGCAGCTAAACAACGTGGCTTAAATAGCGAGTTCGATCTTCTCAAAACACCCTACGATTGCTGATGAAGCTAAGATGAGAAAACAACATGACGCCTTATGGAGAACGATGTTTTGTTGGTTCGCCTTTCAGCCCGATTCATTACTTTAGTTAATTCCCGGCTCAAACTTCTTCCCTGTCGATTGAAAAAGCAGTAGATGGGTATTCCTTGTTTCCATTTCAGGATTGGGTTTCCGGTTCCTTCTAAAGTGTTCTCATTCTCTTTCACTTACAGTAATCCCTTGCGTCTTAGGATTAATCGATTTAATTTTTTAATCCTTCAAAGGTTATTTTTCGAGGATACCTGTATTTAAGTAGACGCTCCGTTTTTTTCAATATTTTAAACAATATTTGTTCTCGAGAATGCAGGCGAGTAACCGAAAAAAATACTGTTTAAAATTAAAAAAAAAACAAAAAAGAAAACGAGACCGGAGTGCATATTCAAGTACGGGTATCCACTAAAAGAACATTTGAAGTAATATAGATAGATAGATAGATAGATAGATAGATAGATAGATAGATGTGAAAGGCTGAGATAGATAGATAGATAGATAGATAGATAGATGTGAAAGTCTGAGATAGATAGATAGATAGATAGATAGATAGATGTGAAAGGCTGAGATAGATAGATAGATAGATAGATAGATAGATAGATAGATAGATAGTAAGTATGAATAGATTGATAATTGAAAGATGTGATAAAAAAATAAATAGGAAGTAACTGAGGTAAATATAGATAGATAGAAAAGAGAGAGAGAATGTGAGAGAGAATAGCAGATACATATGAACAAACTTTCACAGTAATATATATATCTTTTTTGAATTTGTAGGTTTGATGGATCGTGAAATATATATATATATATATATATATATATATATATATATATATATATATATATATATATATATATATATTCAACTCCCACGATTCATATATGTAATCGTTCGGTGCACTAGTCAGGAGGTATCAGCAATTGTCTGCCTATTTTTCATTTTGCTATTTCTATATTAAGTTATTTTTATTGAGATCTAACAGATGAGAGAGAAATAGACAATGTCAAATGCATATGAACAAACTCCGACCGTAATATATATATATATATATATATATATATATATATATATATATATGCACTCAGGAAAGGTTCTCCCGTGATGTGTGATTAGAGGGCAAAATACCCTGAGCTCATACGGATAGTGTTGAAGTACCCTTCATGCGGTACTATGAGAAGTACGATATGTTAGGGCAACTTGACGTGTGCTAATACCTGGATCGTCCTTGACAGCCCGTAGAATGTGTTTATCGTGGACACGCTCACGAGCGGATCTCGGTCTTCCTCGAGCCATAGTTTGTGGTGCCACGGATCCTGCCTAAGCAAAGCGACGACAAAGAGCAGCAAAGTTTGGATGACTTCGTCTGGAAATGCAGTCTGATACCGCCGTGCAGCCTCGCATCCATTACCATTCGCACGGCCTTATGTAAAAATCATATCCGCCTACTTACGATATGTTAAACGGAACATTTATCAGTTAACTCACTACTACCCATTAAAAGTTGAAGACAGTCTAGTCACAAATATACACGAATGTCAAATGTAACCACGTCTACATGGCGTCATCTACCGTAAACTTTCTTTAAACTTAATATTTCGAAAACGAAGGATTTGTGGACATATTCTTCTATGGATTTTGTCCTTGTTTTGGTGTGAGGAACCCGCCCCCGAAGTTTACAAAAGTATTTTTTATACCCCTATATATATATATATATATATATATATATTACTATATATCTATATATATGTGCATAGACACATAAAAGGCGTATACACTCTCTCATCCCCCGCCACACCACCAGCATTGCACTTTTACACCTGTAACGATCTTCAGTTCATGTCATTATTCCTTTAATCAGGTAATTACATATCTATTTCTCTCTCTCCGAAATATATATATATATATATATATATATATATATATATATATATATATATATATATATATGACTTTATAATATGACTGATATGTTTAAACTAACATATATTTATAAAAAAATATGAATGGTATTGTTTTTTTAATTTTTTATTTTGTTAGCATATGTGGCCAAAATCAGTAAATTTTCCATTGGCCCGTTAATATTTTTCAGTGCTTGGCGGTCAATTGAGTTTTTGTTTTGTTTTGTTTTACGGTATATCAACCTCAATGGGTTCTTTAATACCGACAATATTTTTATTACTAGTCATATTTTTTAGAAAAATGCATTACTGGTAATATTTTTTTTTTTTTTAAAATGGTATTTAAAAAAAAATGTATTGCCAGTATTACGGTATTTTTTTTCAAAAATGTATAGCTGGTAATACTTTTTGCTTTTAAAAAAATTATGCTGGCAATACTTTTTTGTTTTTGAAATTGGTAATATTTTTTTTCTAAAAATGTATTGCTGGTAATTTTTTTTCGAAAATGGTAATATTTTTCTTTTCAAAAATACATTACTGGTAATATTTTTTTTCTTCAAAATAAATGTATTCCTAGTAATAACGTATTGCAAGTAATAGTTTTTTCAAAAATATATTGCTGGTAATTTTCTTTTGTCAAAAATATATTGTTGGTAACAATTTTTCAAAAATATATTGTTGATATTAAAAAAAAAACTATTTTTACACTGACATAGTGTTTTGACCCCAATTTGGTTTTAACTATTTACCCATAGCTGGGACCCAAAAAAATGCTACTAACTTGGATCAGTGTGGATCTGGGAAGACCAGGAATTAAGAGGTGGTTCCACGTTTGTCAAAACATTTTGATCAGGGGCATTGCTGCTGGATGTAGTTTATCGTCATACGCAAAACGCCAGATTGTGGGAGAATCTTACCCCTCTGTAGAGGAGCAGTCAGCATATTCTGAAGCCCCGGCCGACAGGGCGGGTTGTATTTTTAGCTGTGCTCGCAAGAATAACATCGATAATTAAGAATAGGCTTGCTAAAAATATATAAGAATAGATAAATATTTCGACAGCTGTGTGTGTGTCCGCGTATATATATATATATATATATATATATATATATATATATATATATATATATATATATACATACATACAGAGAGAGAGAGAGAGAGAAAGAAAAGAGACAGAGTAGTAGTATTTCTCGTGTCTATCTATTTATCTATCTACGTGATGTATATATATAGAGAGAGAGGCTGATAGAAAAACTAACCTGCATAAGTAAGTATAGCTATTTATCTGTGATAAATGTGACGAAAGGTCGAAGGGTTTTTTGACAATATCTTAGAAAAACTATTTAAACCCCCTTGGTACTTCTCCTTCTTGGAAACCCTAGCCCCCTTCCGAAAGAGTGGTACTGCCTAGGAGAATGCACCCTATAGCGGACACATTCACCAGGGATAGATAGATATATAATGAAAAGTCGGGGATAGATAGATAGATAGATAGATAGATAGATGAATAGATAGATAGATCAGATAGATAGATAGATAGATAGATAGATAGAGAGATAGATCGATAGATAGATAGATAGATCAGATAGATAGATAGATAGATAGATAGATAGATAGATAGATAGATAGATATTATACAGAGACGGTCAGATAGATAGATAGATAGATAGATAGATAGATAGATAGATAGATAGATAGATAGAAGCCTGGGATGGATGGACAGATTTCTGAATTCTACCCACGTTCGAATGGAATCAATATAAAAGAAAACCCTAAATACTCTATTTATCAAGAAAAGGCTACAAAGAAAATCTCTGAATAAAGGTTCCTGGCGCCTTCGGAGATTTTCGAATCAAGAAATCAACTTTCCCACACTACAAGACAAAGCTTGACTTGAATAAATGTGTATGAAAGCTGTCAGTGACTTTCCCCAGTTGCCATAGTGAATTTCTGAAAACGAGACTTGAGTTACAAGAAACGCACAACCAGCGAACAAATAAATAAGTAAATAAAACGGAGACAGTGATTCTTTGAAAGAGAAACAACTGTCGCGTCCAAAAATACGTTATCAGAACTTCCGGGGGAACAAACGACGTTGATGTTTTTAGCCACTCACCAGCTAACAAGTTTGTAAGGAAATTTAAAAAAAAAAGAAGAAATGAATGAACACGCGATAATGCGCACAGATACACACACACACACACACACACACACACACACACACACACACACACACACACACACACACACACACACACACGCACATACACAAGGGATGGTCTAAAAATAAGGCCTATTTATTTTTGTGGGAAACTAAACAGTTACACAACACGCCAAAAGAAAATGGGATAGAGCAACACAATTTTAGATCATTCCAAAGCTTTCTATTGACACGAATTCGAAGAATTATATCGAATTAATTGCTAAGTCTGATGCTAGTAAAGATGTTTCACTGTGTCGTACTAGATAGATAGATAGATAGATAGATAGATAGATAGATAGATGAATGAATGATATATAGTTATATATATATATATATATATATATATATATATATATATATATATATATATATATATATATATATATATATATATATATATATATATATATATATATATATATATATATATATATGATTATAATTATTTATCACTACGAAAATACCCATTTCGTTTCAACACTTCAGTGTCTTATCAAGTGATAGTGTTGAATGAAAAGAAAAATAGTTATTTTTTAGTGATATAACATTATGTTATAATTTTGAATAAATAAATTATATATATATATATATATATATATATATATATATATTTAAATAAATATATATATATATATATATATATATATTTGAATAAATAAATTATATATATATATATATATATATATATATAAAATTTATCTATTTAAAATTATAACATAAACATGTTACAACATCACTACAAAAATAACCATTTTCTTTCAACACATCTGTGGACTTATCAAGTGATGTTGGTGAATGTACAATGTTTCTGTATTCAACACCATCACTTGATAAGACACCAGAAATGTTGAAACTAATTGGCTATTTTTGTAGTGATCTTATAACATGTTTATTTTCCAATTTTTGAATGAATAGTATTTTCTCTACTCTGTATTGAGCACTCTTTTAAGAATAGTATTTTTGGTTATTGGAATTTATTGCGTCTACATCAATCCTATACCTGGGTATATATATATATATATATATATATATATATATATATATATATATTCTCTGATTTAACCAGTAGAGAAGACAATATTTATGAATAAAAATGACAATAGGAAAACTGGTAATTGCTGACGCGTTTCGTCCAATGTGGACTTTATCAAAGCAAAATACGAAAATGAAATTAAATGAATAAAGTAACTAATAAAAACAAAAACAGAATGTACCTAGCAACTGGAATGTAGAGATATTAAAATATGAAAAATATTCCAGTATATATATATATATATATATATATATAGATAGATAGATAGATAGATAGATAGATAGATAGATAATGAAGTGTGCTAGAAAAATTTTCTCGCCAGAATCTATCTTGCCTCTTTATGAGTGGTCTGTGCATTGAATATTTCTGGTGCTCCTGCTATGTATCTAGAGATTCTTGATAAAATCCAAAGAAGGATCTGCAATGTTATCCGTATTGACCTGGCATCCCTGCTTCGCTCACTTTTCTATCACCATAAAACATAGCTTCCTGTGCTTTTTCTATAAATATTTTCATGCTTGTTGTTCTGATGAGCTTTCCATTTTGGTTCCTAGATTTCATGGATTTAAGCGTAGTACTAGATTGGCGGTTAGGTCTCATCATTTTGGGGTTGAAATTGTTCGACGTAACCGTAAGTTCTATTATAATAGTTTCTTCTCTGGCAATTTTTTTCTGGTGTAACGCTTTCGGCTTCTTGCTTTCCTGTCAATTACGATCGTCAAATAATTTACATACAACTTCAATTCGGCATCTATGCCTTTTTTGAATTCTGTTCTTTTTATTGTCCTTTCTAATAAGTAACGTTTTCTCAGTTTCTTTCATATTCAGTAACCCCTTGCGTCTTAGTCGCTTTATCACCTCTCGCTTAGGGTGAAACAAGGAATCACGGTGGAGTAATGGATAGCGGCTCGTATTGCGGAATCGGAGTTCGAATTTCAGTAGGATCAGTTACATTCACTTACGTGCTGATACCCTTGGAAAGGTATGAATTCTCTTCTTCTCACCCTAGCTATGTGTAATACCAGAACAGACTGGGTTCTATATCCTTGGATGGCAACCGGTCTAGGAGAAGGTAACTCTGAATTCAAAAACCAGTCTGAAGAGGGGTGGGCTCCGACAGGCTATCTTGCCCAAGACACACCTCTTCTACTACGGCTGCAGTACATGTGCTGTCCTTACGACCCTGGTCGGGCACGGGATTCGCGATCGATCACGAATGGGTTGAAATGATTAAAACAAAATCTGACTGAGGCGATTAATTATGTTCAAGCGTCCCCAATAACACGCCATGCCAGTAGTAGCAAGTCTCCCACATTCCCGCCATATTCAATCGGTGAGAAGTTCCACTCGAGCAGCTTCATCCTGCAAACCACTACCCTGTGGAATTGTCTCCCAACAGGATGCTTCCCCGATCACTACGATCTTATTCTTTATCTCTCTCATCTATACACATGACCTACTAACGTAACCCTACTCCTCGAGCGGCCTTGTAAAGGGCGACTCTCACAGTTAAAAAAAAAAAAAACACATTGCAAGCACACACACACACACACACACACACACACACACACACACACACACACACACACACTGTCCTTTACGTAAGGGAAACTCGGATGAGTTACATCACGGAATCTGTGAAGAGCGGCGCTATATCAAGTCTAATTCGTTTCCCTTCGTCACTGAGTCCTGTTGGTACAGTTGGTATGACGCTTGCATCGTATCGTAACGGTCCGCGTTAAATATAGTGCGAAAAGACCGTCCAATAGCTATATCAAATTAAAATATTTTCGACATAATCCTAAACAATATCTAAATTTCTTTAAAACGTTCATTTGATATATAAAGTACATTTTTAAGAAATTTCTCCAATTTCTTTACCGCCAGCGTTTCCTACATGTATCTAAAAGAATAGTTTTAAACATAGAATAATATTATTCTAATTTAGTTTTATAATAACTCTTATTTTATTTTACATTTGTAAGTGTTGTTAGGTACATATGTTTGTATTTGACATCCTTATGGGATCGTAATCGCCGACTGTTAGTGTCAATATTTTATGTTTGTGGTGAGTAGTAATTTCGCAAATGAAATCGACCTATGAAACGGCGACTTCCATGTCACCTGTTCAGACAAGCTACATTCCAGTTCAGACTTGTATTGCCAAGACCCGCCATTCCACAGACATAGGGTTGAATCATCCTCACCCCTTCATATTCCATTAGTAGAGAGGAAGTTCCACTTTGACAACATCTGCTCGAGAAACTCTACTTTTTATAATAGACTCCGGAGTAGATACTTTCCTGATTAAAACAATCTTAACCTCTTCAAGTCTATGGTCAGTCATATCTATCCGACATATCCTTATAATATGCACTTCTTACTCCTATTTCTTACGTCCATACAACAACCTCACTCAGTAAAAAATAAGAACATTTGTGTGGTAAAGTTCGCAGTCGAGAATATTTTCGAAATTGTTCGACACTTTACCTTCAAAAGATTATTTTCTGTTTCAGGCAATGAGAATTCATATAAGTGAATTAACCAAGACGCAGTTACCAGAAGGAGTTTATGACCTTGAGGCGAGAGAAATCATAAGGGTCAAGGTAAATACAAACTCTTGTTATTCGACGATAAAAAAAGTTCGATTGATTTATTAAGTAAAAATAAAAGACGTTTTTTGTTTTTAATTCTCATTTTTATTTTTTAACATAATTTTTTTTTAACATCTACAGTTGACGAAAACTACAATCAGATTAGTAAATTAAAAAAAAAAAATACACCTTTAAAAGCATTTTTATTTTTTTATTTTTATTTCTGTCATTATCTTTATTGGACCACATCGATAGCTGACGGGAAAATTCGATCGCTTTATTAAGTAAACATGAAAGACTTTTTATTTTAACTTTATTTTTTTTTTTAATTTTACATAATTTGTATTGAACAGCATTTTGATTTAACCAAAAAAGGTCTTTTGATTTATTAAGCAAAACTAATATATTTTGAAGTTTGTTTTTTTTTAAATCATTTCAGACGTTTTCTTTATTTCAACAAAACATCTTCAGTTCAACAAAACAGATTTTTTGTTCATTAACCAAAAATTAAAATTTTTTAAATATTATATCTATTTTAGACGTTATCACTAGTGAAAAACAGCTTGAATTGACTAAAAGACCTGTTCGGAAAATAAAAATATATTTTTAAAACAGAAAAGGAAAACAAATATTTTTTTAAATGTTTTTTTTTTTTTATTTTAAACGTTATCACCAGTGAAAAAAAAGCTTGAATTGACTAAAAGCCCTGTTCCGACTTAAAAAGGAAAATGAAAAGATATTTTAAAACAAAATAGAAAAACAAATTTAGTATATCAAATAAAAGTGAAAGCTTTTCAAAACATTTTAGACATTGTCCTAATTAAACAATATCTGGATTTATTTAAAACGTTCATTCACTATATAAAGTTAAAATCAAAGACATTTTAGAAAACGTTATTTATTTTATTTTTTTAAAACTATCCTTATTAAATTAAAAAGTGAGTTGACCAAAAGTTCCGTTCAGTATATTCAGTAAAAAATAAATACATTTTCAAAAACTTTAACATTTAAAAAAAAATTCTTTCATCTTAACTTTAGGGAATAACATCCTAAGTTAGTAAAAAGCTTGATCAGTTTATTAAGTATCTGTCTATATTTCTGAGATGAGGTATTATGTACACTATTTACATTATTCGGACTATTGTCCTCATCTTTGTCGCCATATTTATTAAAACGTTTCGGCCGTTTTACGCCCGGCCTTCTTCAGGAGGTTGGAATGTCGAACTGAACCCTTTATTTCACTCACTGGGGTTGACTGTTCTAGTTCCACGTGCCATGTTTAATGGATGTCAGTTGTCAGTTATCTCCTGTTAATTCCCCTCTCCAAGTTCTCTACTGCCTTAACCGGGTATTGAACTCGCACTCTTTGGGTCCTGTCACTGGATCTAACTAACGTGCCATGTGCTTTGAGGACACATGGCACAGTGGATAAAGTGGATAGAGTTCAATACCCGGTTAAGGCAGTGGAGAACTTGGTGAGTGGAATTAACAGGAGATAACTGACATCCATTAAACATGGCATGTGGAACTAGAACAGTATTCCCCAGTGAATGAAATAAAGGGTTCAGTCGCATTGGGGATCCTACTGTGTCTAAAAGTACTCGGTGTCGGTATCTGAGGGAAATAGTAACAACAGTCAAACCTGTATCGAAGCCTCCGTTGACGAGAACTCACATTCAAAATCGATTGAAATGGGCCGAGGACAATATGAAGATTGACTTCTCTAACGTTTTGTTCACAGACGAAACTCGAGCAACACTTGATGGGCCAGATAGATGGTGCAAATGTTGGGTAATGAACGGACAGAATCGCCATCAGCATTTGAGACGCCAACAAAGCGGTGGAGGCATAATGATCTGGGGTGGTATTATTGGAAACACATTACTGAGCCCATGGAGAGTACCAGATGGCGTCAAAATGACTGCTGATGCATACATAGCGTTTTTGCAGGAGCATCTTGAACCGTGGATGAAAAGGCTAAGAGTTGCCTTCAGAAGGGCCATTGTTTTTATGCATGATAATGCTCCCTCACACGCTGCTCACAAGACTACTGAATATTTGAAACAAATGCACCTCGAAAAATGAAGTGGCCACAAATTCTCCGGATTTGAACCCAATCGAAAACCTTTGGAGCATCATGAATCGTAGACTGTACCCCAACGGACGACAATTCAGGAGCAACGCTGAGTTATGGGAAGCAATTCTTGACATATCTCGCGGCATTACAGCAGATGACATTCTACAATTAACAAATTCTATGGATCGTCGAGTTTTCCAAGTAATTTCAAAACAGGGAATGCACATTCCCTATTAATTTGATTAAAACTGTGCCTTTGTTTGTATGTGTTATTATTTGTTTGATTATCTTATTTATTAGCTTCTTTTGATCATAAACATTCACGATCAACATTAATAAACGTTTTGTTTGCTAAATTCTGGGAATTTTATTAAATCTTTTTAATAATTTGGCACGCGCAAATCACCGTGCTGATAACAAATATGGCGCCAGTTTGTTTACATTGCGCAGATCAGTACGAAAATTTCAGTGATTGCGCAGCTCAGTGTTACAACATTGTGTGAAAATTTTGTGTGAATTGATTGGACGGTTTTTTGAAATATTAGAAAAAAATTATCTCGATAATAATTTGGCACGCAGTATATATATATATATATATATATATATATATATATATATATATATATATCTGTGTGTGAGTGTTTGTTCGAAATCGGTTGTTGAGTATCCTCCACTCGACTGATTGAACACAGATTTTCATCAGCAGCAGAATTATTGTTAATATATCAACAGCATCTTAATGTCGAGTAAAGTTTTCACCACCAGGGATCTCCCACTTACATACTGTGACGGTAGACCAACTCTATCTGATTGTATTGAAAGCTATTGCCGGGACGCTTTAAGCGTGTCGTAATGATACTTTGGCCCTGAAACAAGGCCCGAATCGTTTTATGTAGTTTTTCTGAAAGTACTGTTACCAAATTTTGCAGCAATATCTGGATTCGAGTCATGTCAATAATCAGAGAGCTATTTCATTTTTTTTTTCTTTTTTCCTTTTGTTCTTTTCAAAATTAGAGATTGCATGTACAGTTGAAAACCATTTTCTGATGGAACCTTTTCAGTATATCTTTTTTTTTTATTCGTTATTATTTATATATTATTTTGTTTAATTTTCTTTTCTAGGGAAAGGGTGGAATGCGTACCTACTGGCTGAACGGCAAATTAAAGAAGGACAATTTTCAGGAAGTTTTGGTTGGAAATCAAGAAGCATCCCCTAACAGTGCGACCGGGGACATGACGGAAATTCCTAAAGAAACCTTAAAAGACCATCACTTACCTTCCAGTGAATTAAACAGGACGTCTCCTGCGACGTCGAAAGAGGATGATTTTGACGGCCGATCTCTTTATTCACCGGTTACTTACGAGGCAGCAACACGTCGTCGGAGTTCGTCACGTTCCATTAAATTAACTCTTACCTCTGCTAGAAGTGCTCCGGATTCGTTTCCTGTGAAAGAGAATCTGACCCAGTCGAACGTTTATTCGATTGTACCCAACACTGACAGTGTCGATTTGCCACGACCAAACTTAACGACGTGCTCATCAGCCCTAAAATGTGAATCGCTTAAGCCAAGTGGCGGGGAGAAAAGCCGAGACAAAAACTGTAATCAACATTATCGCGAAGACATGAGCCACGTTGCGAAGTCAGGTCATGGCATATGCAAGTCAGAGTATGGAATTCGAAACGGGTCGCCCAGAAAACCTTTCGGCAGAAACTACAAAAACAGTCGCCTGTGTATAATCTTGTAAAATTGGACATATTTGGATATGCACAAAAGACAAAAAAAAAGTAGACTTATTTTAAGACGTTAAAAAAAAATTACATCCATAGTTAATTATTCAAAACTGTTTTTTGCCCTGTCCATATCTGTTACTAGAGATAGAATTTGGGCTGATGATACAGGCAAACAGGACGGGACAAAGACGACACAAGCAAATAGGATCTCGTTTATTTTCTTGAGGGGTGTCTTTCTATGACAGTGTGAAAGACTAGAGAAAAAAAAAACATCGGAATTTAAGTAGCAGTTTTGCCCCAAAATATCAAAATAATAAAAAAAAACAACAAAAAACAAAAAAAAAACAAAAAAGTAATCATTGCGATCATAATGTGCAACGTCATGTAAAAGCAGGCGTATCTTGCAAGGTGAGATGTTTCATTTTTACCTGTTAACACGGGTCCTTAAAACTGCAGTTGTAAATTTTCACATTTGCTCGTACGAACAACAATATTCAATTAACATTATTGTCTACAAAGAACTACTGAAATTTATTTTTTAACTTATTTCTCTTCTCTAGAAGATAGAAATATCAGACCAAAGCAATTGCTAAAAAAAAATTATTGTCTTAAAATATACTGCGTATAAAGTCCTTGTACAGCTGAGAGTGTTAGTATTTTTTTTTCTTGTTTAAGGTAGACCTGCAACACCAATTGCTATGGAACTACCTTTGTTGATGTCCATTAATTGGGGCCATTTGTAAAGAGATTCTAAGACTGATATTTCTAATAAATTTTCTTTTATTTAAATTACAAATACCATGCTACGGAAGCAGATTTCTTGAAGTCAAATACTTGAGCATGTTTATAAACGGTTCTTAATATTTAACGTTCCCGATGGAAATATGCGTAAGGATGAAAGGGTTTGGTGTGCTGAGGTCAAGGTTTGTTAATTCGTGGCTAGGATTTGGATAATTTTAAATAAATAATTGATATTTTATTAGAAATGAATTTTATTAATTTCATTAGCAATGAATAACCGTCTTTCCCAGGAAGCCAGAGAAATGTCTTTAAAAATATTCTACCTGTCTCTTCGAATCATAATTGATGTTTTCATAACATTATGATAGAAATTCCTCTCAAATTCATCGATAATATCCTCAGATTATTTTAATCTGAAATAAATACTTTGTTTTTATTTTACATTTTGTATAGAGTTTTGTCGAATACTGGGAATAACCGAGGAAGGATTATAGCCGCACATATATATATATATATATGTTTGTTTTGTTTTTGTTTTTGTTTTTTTGTCGGAGATACATTCTCTCAAGGGACATTTAAATTTGTATATAATGTTGGTTTTACGTAATACATCGGTTAGTGTGGAGGAGTTCTTGCGGATAATTAAATTGGTTGTATCGTATTTTTTAATAATATATGATTAATTTTACTTCTTTTTTTTATTAGAATCCATAGGAGATATGTTAGTATAAATACACGGAATGTTATTCGTGGGTATGAATGGATTTTATTAAAAATTAGCAGATATAATGTCTGTAATTTATTCAATGAGACATTTCTAAATGAGAATTCGATGCCGAAATACACAAATCTTAATATATATATATATATATATATATATATATGTGTGTGTCTGTGTCTGCGTAAAAATTTCAGATATAATTACAATATATATGAATAAGACAAAAGAAAAATTTATCTTAGCCGACGCCTTTCGCCCTCTGACAGGTTTTATCAAGGCAAATGTGGAGATTTTATTTCGCAACAAGTATTTAGAAACAAAAGTAAAAAATGTTAGTTTTTCAAGATTATTAAATTTAAGAGACGCTCATAAATATTCATAAGGCTGACTGAAAAGTTTTCGTAAATTATGGAGGATGCTAAGTGACGTCATTTAATGACTAATGAAGGAAAGTAATAGAATGATGTTGTTGATTGTTTTTATGCAATTAATATTTAAATTATTCTACTATGGTATACATTTATGCATTATAATTTATTTTCTAAATAACAGGCGGTTATGGATCTAATCATTTTCCTTAATTTTTTACATTTTTATAATCATGTATGTCGGTTTTGGATAAAATTAATTCTTTCAGGTATGGACATATTTGAAAAAATTCTGATCGCAGATTTATATTTTGATAAGGTTCGATAGAGGCACTCTCGAGAATTTTCCGTGAAAGTATCTTACTCTATTTTAGATCAAAGTTGTGGATAAATTTATTTCCATGTATAACTAATGCATGTGATAAATTGTTCTAAGATTCTTTTGTGTTCAAGGATGCGCTTTTAAAAAAAAATCTGCAAGTTTCCCCAATGTATTGTGAAGAGCAGTCTTGACATTTATTTTCTATATAATTGCTTCAGTATACAATCATTATTATTATTATTATTCAATATATATATATATATATATATATATATATATATATATATATATATATAAATATGAAGAAATATAGTTTTAATGTATGCTATATTTATGGGATAAAGTGATCAATATCAGAGATAGAGCGTATGTAAATATAAATATAAAAAGCGGCCTGACGATTGCGTCCAGCATGAAATAGCCCGCCGCCTCTGAATGTTGACTTCAATGTTCACTTTTATATATATATATTAGCAGTAGAGCCCGGCGTTGCCCGGGGATGTAACAGTAAGAGATAGATCAAGTATTGACCATCATAAAGACTGAAAAATAAAATTAACAAAGATTATTTTTTAAGGTTGATGGACATGCATTTTTTTTTATTTTTTTTTTTTTTTTACAAATTGGTCAAACCCAAACTCAAACAAAAACATTGTTTTCAATCATTATGAGTCTACCGATTGAATAGAATTTTATTATAAACAATTGCCTTGTAAATGGAATTTTTAAAGCATTCTGAATGTAGAAATAAAGAAAAAAGTGTGCAAGACAATAAGAAACACTACCTTCCAAAAAAAAGAGTGAAGTTTTGTCGAAATCGGTTGGAGAATGTAGGAAATCCGATCCCATATATAAATGAACACAGACACACACACAAACAACCTGGGTTTTATAATAAGTATAACTTGATATGAGTTGTACCCCTTTCATTCTCGCGATGACTCTTAATCGTGTTTTCAAATTGATTTCGTGCAAAAACTATTGTGTTTTTCCAATTTTTGTTGATGTCAGAACCACCGCAAGGTAATTTTACCTAGTCCTGTAAAGTTTTGTTGAAAGCAGTTGAAAAATGTAGGAAATCCGATCCAATATATAAAATGTTCAGACACACACATACACACACAACCTGGGTTTTATAATAAGTATGAGATATATATATATATATATATATATATATATATATATATATATATATATATATATGATTGAATATAAAAGTGGACACTGAGGTTAAAATCAAACACCGACAGTCTGTTTCGCTTCCTGCCTCCGTTTGGTGTTAATGTCAGTGTTCACTTTCCTATATACATACGCTCTATCTCTGATATTTAGCACTTTTACTCAGATTGAGGAATCGGAGAGCCGAGTTCGAATTCTAGTCAAATCTATTACATTCACTTACGTGCTAACACCCTTGGGATAGGTAGGAATCCACTTCTTCTTCCCCCTGCCAGCTATGGATAAATTGCAGAACAGATCGGATTCTACAGACTTGGACGGCAACTGGTCTACCGCAGACAGAAATAGCAATTTACTGCCTCGTCAGTCATGTATCGAAAGTTACATGATCGCCTAAGCGTCTATCACGCATGGCACATAACTGACTGACTATAAATATAGCGTACCTTGAAACTGTATTTTTATAAATATATATATATATATATATATATATATATATATATATATATATATATATATATATGTGTGTGTGTGTGTGTGTGTGTGTGTAATTTCTAACGAATTAATGGATTTACTTTCAATCCGACATTTTTAATACATCACTGGCATTAGAGTGGCTAGTGATATTTGAAATAAACCCCCATTTTATATTTAAAAGTGTGCATTTCGTCTATCGGTCCGCAGAAATCGTAACAAAGAAAATGTGCTCTGGGGCCGGGTTCAAACCTGCACCCTTCTTTGTACAAGGTTCACCTTATTTCTTCATTAAGATTTCTTGAGAGAGAGAGAGAGAGATAGAGAGAGAGAGAGAGGGTCCTCGACTTACGTCGGAGATCCGTTCTTACGGCACAATATTTTCAACGTAGGTTGGAACTCACCAAAATAAGCACCCACGCACCTGCCTTATGCTTGACAGTCATAATGAAGGGCAAAATGGGCATACACCCGGTGAAAAAACAACGTCGTCTTCCTCATACCGCACCGTGTGACGACGTATTATATTATGTGGAGATGGCACAGTAACCACGAAACACCATACATGAAGTCCGACGTAACCCGAGGACCTACTGTATATATCAGTTTCGACGTAACCCGAGGACTTTCTGTATATATATATATATATATATATATATATATATATATATATATATGTTAGTTGAATATATGGATTAAATGAACCTAAAAGGAACTAGTAAAAAAAATCAGTTTAACATTTTTCAGTATTTTCTTAGCTGTATTTGAAATTTGAGCTATGTTTCGATTTTTGAATTCTATGTTTTGCTTACTTTGGTTGCGTAGACGTCAACTGTTCGTTTCAAGGCCTTAGTATGTATGTATGTTTGTATAAATTTTGTTGTGTATTTCTCAGGCGTTTACCTCTTGGCGTCTGTGTATGCGTTTTATTCTTTAAATATTAGCGTATTTTCAATGCGTATTAAGAATTGGCTACATTGATTTAATTTCATTGCATTATAAATGCGATGAATGGTGAAAGCGAACCTCCAAGATTAGGATACAGCATTTGGATCTTACATTCTTTTACGAATATTTGTCATATGAAAAAGCGCGTGTGATGAACTTTTAATATCTTTCAATTATTTATCAATATTCCTTCTCGGCAT